TAGTTATCTGAGGTTCCGTTTGTTTTGAGGAAAATAAATATAAAACTGATTGCTTATATCGCTTATAAAAATGAATGAACGAAAAATATTTTCATCATCCACGAAAATGTTTAGATATAAATTGTTGTTGATGATAAAAATATTTTTGTTGATCAATTATTTCAAGCGATACAACCAATCATTTTATGGAAAATATTTTTCAAATCATTCATTTTCCGCGAAACATGCAGAGCCTAATATAATTGCAAGATTCTTTTTGTATCTTTCAAAGGGTAATTTCAAAAGTACAAGGTGCTTCATGAAAAGCCTACTTTTAAATCAGCCTAATAACAACTGCTTAGTTGATTTTTCTAACCTAATTATAGCATCATAACAATATAATTTTTTTTTAAAGAGGGTTTAGAACCTTTACCCGATGCTTAAGGATCATCTAAAGGAGATACGTAACTCTCCATAAAAAGGCCCTTTGGAACTTTACACACGCACTTTGCCTTTCTTTCTTGTTCTTTTGCTCTTTAACTTTTTTTGTAATTGTAATTTTTTTATGTTGCAATATTTAAATTGTATTTATGAGTACTTTTGCGTTTTTTTTTTTTTATCTGGTGATGGATGGAGCTTTAGGAGGTCAGATTTTAGTGATTATGACTTTTCAAATTGCCAATTTTTTAGGTGTTGGACGAAAATAATTATAGGCATAGATTCATGAGAAATTGTATAAAAAGTCTTAAATCTATTACATTTTTGCCAATTAAGTCATAAAACCTTTTCACTTATTGCCAATTAAATGCATTCGGCCAATTTTGACAGGAAATCACTAACGTGGACGTCGGCTGGCTTATGTGGCGCTGACGTCGATTATTTTTGATAATATTTTTCGATTTTTTTCTTTTTCCTTTCTCTTTTCTTTCTCTTTTTTCCCTACCCTTTCTTCTCCTCAAGCCGGTCACTAGGCCTTGGCAACCAACCAGGGGCGAGGGTTGCAGAGGTCGAGCCTCACCCAGCAATGGCGAGGCTTGGCCTCACCACGGCTAGGTGAGGTCGACCACGCTAGCCCTCACCACTGGCCAGTTGCCGAGGCTCGATAACCATCTAGAGGAGGAAGAAGGGGAGGAAAAAAAAAAGACAAAAAGCAAAGAAAAATAAAAAAATCGAAAAATATTAAAATATTAATAAAAATTGTCATCGTCTGTAATTTCTTGCCAAAATTAACCGGATGGATTCAATTAGCGAGAAGTGAAAAGGTTTAGGACCCAATTCTATAGGTTGAGGACTTTTTGCACAATTTTAACCATATATTTAACATCCATCTATAACTAAGATTTTTTTTATGTTCCATCAAGATCGTGGGAGGCTATAAAAGCAACGTGGTAAGTCGTATGTATATTTTTCATCAAGGTTGAAACTATTGTGTATCAAAGCTTGCCAAAAGATTTAGATGACTCAAGGAAAGGTTTGCTACGTGATTTTTTTTTTTTGGTTACTTCATCAATATATTTAATAATCATAGTCGATAAAAAGTCATAAAGTTGATATATTAAGACTCAAATGTCACTAGGTTAATCAATATCTTTAAATGGTGATTCAACATGAATACTGATCGAGTGGAGTTTGCGTAGGGCAATATTTTCCTTAATTGATGTTATTCTTAAAGGTAAGACAATTGATGATATGTCCAAATAAGGTATTTTCTTTTGAGATTAAGATGATTATAGCATCCAAGTAATTACTGGACCTTCTCTAGACCGGCCTGTTCAGACACTCCCGAACCCTATAAAATTTTTATAGAATCAAATTTTTATAGAAAATAAAATTGATCATTTAATCATCGTGCGCAAGGATTTTGGACTAGCTACTAAGTTCAGCTTACCTGCTGATTACGCATACTCAATATGCCATTGACTTTACACCAATAGAAGATGTTAAATGTTGTCATTCTTCTTTGAAATAAAAACAAATAAACTAATGAGCATTCCATATACTTCAATTTAAAAAATAAACTTATATTGCAACAGTAATTAGTATTCCCGCGGCAACTATGCCAGCAATATACGAGTAGAGAAAAGTAAATTTGGGATTTCCCAAAAAATTCACCAAAATTCAACATCTGTCAATAAATAATTCGAACAGATACGACTCTGCAAGGCTTCAGCTACTGCTGGCTTCTGAAAAAGTATCATAAGTCGGTTGTTCTGACCAACTCTCGCATGAAGTGAGCAAGGCACTTCTGAGGAGTCTGACACAGTAGGTACAAACAAGAAAGTATCGAGGCAAAGAGCAAACGTTTAAATTCCTAAGAAATTTTACCAAAGTGGAAAAAAGGGCCTGCTTTGCCCAGACATTTAGGATGAGAATGGCAACCATTCTGCTCCAGAAATTAAATTCTTGCCAGAAATTGATTTCTGAAATTCTAGCCAGAAATTAATTTCTGGAGGAGAAATCTGTTTGGTAAAACATGATTAATTCTGCTTCAGAAATTGATTTCTGGAACAGAAATCTATTTTGATTTGTTGATTTTTTTTGCACCTAAAAAAATTTAAATTTTACTCAAAGTGGGTGGCCACAGGTATTATAAGCCATTCTGTAAAGTTTTGAAATTTTTGATTTTTTTAATTTTTTTGGGCACCTAAAAAAATTTAAATTTCACTCAAAGTGGGTGGCCACAGGTATTCTAAGCCATTTTGTAAAGTTTTGAATTTTTTTATTTTTTTATTTTTTTGGGCACCTCAAAAAATTTAAATTTTACTCAAAATGGGTGGCTACAGGTATTCTAAGCCATTCTGTGAAGTTTTGAAATTTTTTATTTTTTATTTATTTTTTTTGGGCACCTCAAAAAATTTAAATTTCACTCAAAGTGGATGACCACGAGTATTTTAAGCCATTTTGTGAAGTTTTGAAAATTTTTATTTTTATATTTTTTTGGGCACCTCAAAAAATTTAAATTTCACTCAAAGTAGGTGGCAACAGGTATTTTAAGCCATTTTGTGAAGTTTTGAAATTTTTGATTTTTTTTGGGCACCTCAAAAAATTTAAATTTCACTCAAAGTGGGTGGCCACATGTGTTTTAAGTTATTCTGTGAAGTTTTGAAATTTTTGATTTTTTTTTTATAAAAAAAATTCACCAAATTTCATATTTTCCCGAAATCTAACTTTTTTTTATTTTCTGGAAATTTTTATGAATTTTTCTAAAATTTTTCAATTTTTATGCATTTTCTGAAAAAAAAAAATTTGTGAGAAAATAGGGAGAATGCATTCCGGAATCAAGAAGCTACAAAAAGTAGCTTCTCTTTTTCTTGCCAAAAACTCATTCTGAAATCAAGAATGCATTCTGGAATCAAGTATTTTTAACAAACGCATTTTTATTCCAGAATGCAAAAATCACTCCAGAATGCATTTCGAAATTTTTTTAACAAACGCCATTCTGTTCCGGAATGCATTCCATGCGCACCCTTAGATTGCCAGGAAGTACCTAGCAACAGAAATGAGGGAATGTCACAGGAACTAAAATTGCTAGGAACTCATGTGACCCAGAAACTAAAATTCTACCTTTAGCTTGATATGTGTTGTAAAGAAAAAGTTTACTTGACATTGTACTGGGTGTTTCACACAAGATATGTATAAACTGAATATCAAACAGAGCTTTTACAGATTTGAAAATATTACGCATGAAAACTGCAACTGTTTTATGCCGTGCACAAAAATTTACGATTATTCCACAAGGATAGACTACCGATCGATTCTGGGTATCAATTGGAAGTTGACGGATATTTGACGGGGCCAAATTTGGGTATTAACTGAAAGTCAGTGCTTTTATGAGGAAAAAAACAAAAAAGGTTCAGGCCACATTTTGCCGAATGAAAGTTTGTGCTTTTATGAGAAAAAAAAATCTACCCTTAAGTTGAGTAGATTCGACATAATTTACTTTTAATTCATACTAGCAATTACAAAATGGTCGAAGTCCGGCACCAAACCTCACATAACTCACTTAAGTCCCCTGTAATCTTTATTGGTCTTTAAAGTCCGACATTTACAGTGGCTTTATCTATCAATTATATATATACTTTGAAATACTTTGTGCTGAACAAAAAGATTAAAAAGGCGGGAATCTTATTTTTGCGAAAAATAAAAAAAAACAAAAGCCATTTCAATCAAATCGATAAAAGGAAGCAAATTTGGAAAAGAGAAAAAAAAAACACTACATGGCCTATGTACCGTGCAGATTAAACATATTTGGACCGTTGATCGCGTGGATCTCACCATGGGGACGCGTATAATTGACGATCCGGATGGTATTTAAAAGCAGCTGGACCGGCTTTTTGGGGTTCGGACCGGGGGGGGGACATAACCGCCGGTTCGTATACCCCGCACCAACAGTAACCGTAATAGATAGAGCCGTTGTACCGGTAGTTACGTCAGACACACACACGTACATACGCACGCAACGGCTTGTCGCGTCGGGCCACCACCACCGCAAAGGAGAGGGGAAAAAAGGGGCAAAACACAGCGTGGGCGTTTCGGTAAATTCACAAGCGGCGCAGCGCAACGGATCGCAAGTGGGAATCGCACTAAGTCAAAGAAAGACGTAATTTTTTTTACTGCCCCCCATCATCATCTCCCCCCCCCCTTTTATTTTTTATTTTATCTATCTTTTAATTCGTCGAATAGGGGAAAAAAAAAACAAAGAAGTAAAAGGGGAGTTTCCTTTTACGCCCCGAGGAGGAGGATGAGGAGGAGGAGGAAAGGAAAAAGGACCGTTGCGGGGGGACACGTGTCGCGCCGCCGGTCCACCTGTCCCCTCCCCTTCCTCCCAATCCCCCCACACCCTTTGGATTCCTTGTAGTTTTCCCTACGTTTCGTTCTGATCCAGCTCAAAGGCAAAGTATCACACCCTTCTAAGTCTCTCTCTATCTCTCATCTTACTCTCTCCTCCCGCGATTGATTTGGACCGTCTTTCTTCTTCTTCCTCTTCTTCTTCGCGTCCTCCTCCTCCTCCTCCTGCTGCAGAGCCGAAAGATCTTTACCACCCGGCTCCTCTCCAATGGCGGATCACTAAGGGGGTTCGGAAAATGTGGGGTCGAAGTCGCGGCTGTTCCTCGCGCGTCGTCCTCGCTCTGTTCGCGCTCTGTTTCCTGGGCGCTGCCGCGGTCGGCGTCGTCGGCGGCGGCGGCGGCACCGAGTTCGACTTCGGGACGCTGACGCTGAGCAGCCTCAAGCTCATCGGCGACGCCCACCTCGGCAACGGCAGCGTGCGGCTCACGCGCGACCTCGCCGTACCCAACTCCGGCGCCGGGAGGGCCCTGTACTCGAAGCCCGTGCGATTCCGGCAGCCCGGGGCCGGCCCCCCGGCGAGCTTCTCCACCTTCTTCTCCTTCTCCGTCACCAACCTCAACCCCTCCTCCATCGGCGGCGGCCTCGCCTTCCTCATCTCCCCCGACGACGACTCCCTGGGCGGAGGCGGCGCGTACCTCGGCCTCCTCGGCGGCGCGTCCCCCGCCGGCTTCGTGGCGGTGGAGTTCGACACCCTCATGGACGTCGGGTTCGGGGACATCAACGGCAACCACGTGGGCCTGGATCTGAACAGCATGGTGTCGGCGCAGGTCGGCGATTTGGGCGCGATCGACGTCGATCTCAAGAGCGGCGACTTGATCAATGCGTGGGTCGTCTTCGATGGGTCGACTGGCGTCCTGAACGTGTCCGTTTCGTACTCGAATCTGAAGCCCAAAGACCCGATTCTGTCCATGAATCTCGATCTCACCCAGTACGTGAACGACTTCATGTACGTCGGCTTCTCCGGGTCGACTCAGGGGAGCACCGAGATTCACAGCATTGAGTGGTGGAGCTTCAGCTCCTCCTTCGAGTCGCCCTCGCAGCCGCCTCCGCCGGCGCCCACCGCCACTTTGATGAACCCGACGGCAAATTCCGTCACGTCGCCGCCGCCCTCGGTAGCCCCTTCGGGGTCCGATGCTCCGCGGAAGGAGAGCAATAAGGCGCCCTCTACGTCCTGCCACAATCAGCTCTGCAAGCAAGGTCCAGGGGCCGTCGCCGGCGTCGTCACCGCCGGCGCCTTCTTCCTAGCTCTATTCGCCGGGGCTCTCATATGGGTGTACAACAAGAAGGTCAAGCGGGCGAACAAGTCGGAGTCCCTCGCCGCGGATATCATCAAGATGCCGAAGGAGTTCAGCTACCGGGAGCTAAAATCCGCCACCAAATGCTTCAACGCTAACCGGATCATCGGCCACGGCGCGTTCGGGACGGTCTACAAGGGCGTATTGCCGGGGAACGGCGACATTATCGCGGTGAAGAGATGTAGCCACAACACGCAAGGGAAGAACGAGTTCTTCTCCGAGCTGTCGATCATCGGCACGCTCCGGCATCGCAATCTCGTCCGCCTCCAAGGATGGTGCCACGAGAAGGGCGAAATTCTATTGGTGTACGATCTGATGCCGAACGGTAGCTTGGACAAGGCGCTGTTCGAGGCGAGGTGGCCCTTGCCGTGGCCGCACCGGCGGAAGATCTTACTAGGAGTGGCCTCGGCGCTGGCCTACTTGCATCAGGAGTGCGAAAACCAAGTGATCCATAGAGATGTCAAGACTAGCAACATAATGCTGGACGAAGGGTTCAATGCCAAGTTAGGGGACTTCGGACTAGCTAGGCAAGTCGAGCACGACAAGTCGCCGGACGCCACGGTGGCGGCCGGGACGATGGGCTATTTGGCGCCGGAGTATCTCTTGACCGGGAGAGCTAGCGAGAAGACCGACGTGTTCAGCTACGGGGCGGTGGTCCTCGAGGTGGCCAGCGGGAGGAGGCCGATCGAGAAGGACACCAATGGGGCCGGCAAGGTCGGGACGAGCAGCAATCTGGTGGAGTGGGTTTGGAGCCTGCACCGGGAAGGGAAGCTGCTGACGGCGGCCGACCCGAGGCTCGACGGAGAGTTCGATGAGGGCGAGATGGTGAGGGTGCTGCTGGTCGGGCTGGCCTGCTCGCACCCCGACCCGGTGGCCCGGCCCGCGATGCGGAGCGTGGTCCAGATGCTGGTGGGCGAGGCCGAAGTGCCCATCGTCCCGAGGACCAAACCCTCCATGAGCTTCAGCACCTCGCACCTCCTGCTGAGCTTGCAGGACAGCGTCTCGGACTGCAACGACATGGTCGCCATCTCGACATCGTCCTCGGAGGGCGACTACCGCGGCGGCAACGAGATCGTTTGATAGACGGGAGGTGGGTTTTTTTTGGGTAGATCGAATTCCACGTATTCTACGACTCGGTACATATAACATATATATTCGATTCATTTGTTCATGTACTAGGCATGGTAATAAACATGTAACATGAGGATATCTATTTAGGGGGGTGCTTGAAAGGTTCATGTTTTGCCACTCTTTTCTTAGCGAGAGGGAAGCACTGTAGTCCAATTGGTGCACATAGGAATGGGTGGGAGTCATTTTCTTCTTTAATTTTTTTTTGTGCTTTTTATTTTTTTATTTTTTGGCATTTGGTTTGGGGCATTGAAGGATGGGGCTTTGTACTCTTGTGGAGAGGTGGGATGTTGCTTTCGCAAGTAATGCCCCCCCTATAAGGTCAAAAGATAGCGTTTGAGTAAGAGGTCCGGTAAAGTATAGTGACGGGTGACAAAACAAAGAGAGCTTAAATTACTACCTTTCCTTCTAATTTAATTTTGTAGTGACCATATTGTGGCTGGTGGAGACAGAGAAAGGAACCGATGAAGTCAAATGCATGGACAAAATTTTCCTATCATGCTGCTGCTTAATTTGATTATCCTTATAGTTTGTACCTTTCGGATGTGGATTAGTCTCGTGGGTGAGTTGTCGTGTTGTGGGAATTATCCATTAAATAAATGTCGTATTCGGTCGTTGCCCATCTGCGTCGGTCGGAAGTTTGGACTTAGCCAAAGGATGTCTTGTGGGTTTTTCCAGGTAACCTGATGTCTGTGCCCGTGCCCCATGAATTTCAAATAAAAAAACCTTGAGACTTGATATTCATAGCCAGAGGACATAGGGGGAAGGAAGGGCTAAAGTGTGGCTTATGTTCATATGATTAATCATAGCAAAAGGACAAAGAGGTGCTCATCAACTTTAAGTATGTGTATACACCAAGTTACAAATGAGTCCTCCTTTCTTTTATTGATAAAAGAAAAAAGTTAGAAAGAAAAAAACCCAAAATTTCCTTGTATGGCCAATATATTTCATTCCCTACATGCATTTTTCAAAGCATCAAAGTAGGGGGGGTGATCAATTTCCGGTCCGGTCCAATGAAACCGATCACTTAGGGTTTAATTCACATTTTATTAATTTTTGTCAATGAATTTATGTCAAGGGATTTCGCTTAGGGTTTAGTTCACATTTTACTAATTTTTATCAATGAAGTCCACTTAGAATTTATTTCACATTTTAATTCTTTTTTTGAAGAAATAAACAAATACCAAAAAGTTATATGTTGTCGGTTCGATTCGGTCGGTCCGATTCCTCTTTAGAATCGGGAATCGGACCGCCCAAACCGATTTCACTTTTAGAAATTGTGAACTAGACCGATACTTTCGGGAACCGGATTCAATCGACCGGTTCGGTCCCATTTTGCACGTACCTACGTCAAAACATGGGTTTCCATTTTTCACAGGCAATTATGGTGCTAGCGGATTGTCCTGGAGAATTCTAGCTTCATATTCAATTTCGTTCGCTTTTAACCTTTCCATGAGCCGCCAACCCAAACCCCACTTCTCTTCTTACCGCGGTCATTTCACCTCAATAATTCTCTCCTTTTTCTTCTCGAAAGGCCAAAAAGGGTTTTGATTCAATCATGCTAGGTATAGCACAGGGGAAAGCAGCAGTGAAAAGATGCCATCTGATGCGCCGAATCATGACTTTTACTTAAAGGACCTCGGGCGAATTACAAATTGCCCCTCTAGTTTTTAGGGTTGTTGCATATTGCCCCCTGACGTTTTAACTTTTGCAATTTACCCCCCCGAATTTCAGAAATGTACTGCATGTGAGAGCACGTGATCAAAGTTTTCTACGGGAAACAGGAGTTAACGCCAAATGTACACCGACATACAATTCTGAAATAATTTTTGAGTCGTCCATATGTTCTTTTTTTCTCATGTGTATATAGATGATCGATGATCGATATGTCTTCCATGGCAAATCATGTGATCAGATATGTAAGAAAAATTTGGCGGGAGTCAAAGTTAGGGGGCACATTGCCACAAGTTTCAAAGAGCCGGGGCGCGCATTGTAAAAATCGAAACGTACGGGGGCAACTTGCCACAATCCCAAAAAAATCGGGGGCAAAAATGTAATCCTCACATTTCTTGCCCATGGACCGCATCATTTTTAAGATAATTTTTTGATACGATATTTTATATAAGAATCACGATAGATTAACTTGGATACGACGTGGTATGACGGGGGGAACCGTCCCTTGAGAAATTACACAAGAACCTAAATTCAGAAATAAAGTGACATTGTTATTCACGCTTTAGGACTCGTTGTTTTCCTATACCAGTTCAGCTTTCTAGCAAAAAGCGCTTTCTGATTTGGTCTTCGGATCGCACGTTGATTTCGTATGCTTGTGCGAGTGACGATGGGACTCTGTATTCTTGTTTTCGGGCACATCTTGTCACTCGCAGAGATAGAATTCGCCTTTTCATCCAAATGAACAAAGGTTGGCTCGATCTTATAGCAACTTCAATAAGTATGCGTTTGTTTCGCAGAACCATCAATGATTTGAAAAAATATCTTCTTAAAAATAGTTACATGTATCGCTTGAAATAATCGGTCATTAAAAAATGTTTTCGTCATCGACCGCAATTTATATCTAAATATTTTCGTGGAGATGAAACGAGCACATTTTTAGAAAAATGTTTTTCCGAATCATTCATTTTCCGCTAAACAAACGGAGCCTAATTTTTCAATCTTTAATCGAGCTATAGTCTTCGCATCACATGCACAATAGAATGGCCAAAGACTGCGTGGGGATTAGAACAGCGACACCAGCTATTCCTCAAACCACTTGCGAGCCTTCTTCATGGATGCTCGCTGGCTTGCTGGCCCAGCTACAACGCAGCGTGTCAGTGAATCGTCGTAATCACCAGCTACTTCTTCTCCTTGTGTTTCATATGCATAAATGGCGATCGATTCCATCAAAAGAAGAAAAAACAGGAAGGAAAAAAAGCCACAAAAATATCCTAAATCGTATTCAGCGTGACACATTTAACATGGATTTTTTTGACATAAAAAATTCTTAAATTATGCTCACCGTAACATATTTACCGTAAACTTTTTCTTGTGACATGAAAAACTTTAAAGTTGTACTTACGTGACATATTTACCCTCCGTCAAGATTTCATAAGATGGTTTTTTTTCAGTAAAAACAAAGTCGGTTTTATTTCACTTAAACCACGTTGGCGTCATATCCATACCGTTTGCTTTCTGGCGTCCATATAGACAGATTGTTAACGGTTCTCATTGACAAAACTTTGATAGAAGGCCAATGTGTCACACAGGTGCAAGTTTGTAATTTTTGGTGTCACGGGAAAAAAAGTTTAAAGGTGAACGTGTCACGGTGAGTATAATTTAGGGTTTCTAAATGCTCTCGTCCCAGAAAAAATAAAGAGGAAAGAGCCCACGATTTCCCATGAACATGTTCTCAAAACCCAATGCACATGTGCCCCAACGAATAATCGAGACATCGGACTGGGCAAACCAACCAACACCTCAAGCGAATCTGGGGTTTAAGTTTGACTACGCTCACAATCACATGGCGGGGGGAGGAAAAACGAAAATATGAAGTGTTGTTTTTTCTGCCTTAACTTAGTCACCTCTTTCCTTGGTAGGCTCTCGGTTGCCTTGCCACGGTAGCTCGATGCTGTAAGGACATGGGGGGGACACACGTTGTCCAAATCATGTTTGGTACGATCCGTGAGCTAGGGCGAATTGAGGATCTTGTCCTCATTGACATTTTTTATAAGGCTGGTGCCTAAGTATCGACGGAAATGGCTTCATTCAAACTTAGGGCTCGGTTTTGATAGAGGGAAGAGAGATATAAAAGGAGAATCGCGGATCTCGACTGTCGTTCGGCGATTGGCAGACTTCTTGCGTACGAATTTCTTATTTGATTTATTGAAGTAATTAGTACAAGTAAGCACGAGCTGTGAATACGGATAAGGATTTGATATTTGATATTAGAGTGGGGGAGGGGGGTTTACAAAAAAAAGTTCTAAAATTTATTGTACGGATGTCAATTCAGTCCCGTACTTTTCAATTTGGCCACTTTGGTCCTAAATTTTTTGACGATTTGTCAATATAGTCCTTCTGATGTGAACGCCGGCCATCTAACATGACACAACTGGTGCTGATGTGGATAATTTCCAATTTTTTTTAAAAAAATATTTGAATTTATTTATAACTTTTTATAATTTTTTTTTCTACTATGAGCAAGCGAAAGTTGCCGGCTGTCCTACGTGGTACGATTGATGTTAATGTTGATAATTTTTATAATTTTGTAGTTCTTTCTTTATTTATATTTGTGGGCCGGTGGGGATTTCGCCCTCGATCAAGACTAAGACACATGATGGAACTCATGCATATGACCAATCAATTAATCACCAACCGTGCACTCGATAATGGCTTGGTGATGAGGATTAAGACAATGATGGGGCTGTCTAAATCATTTCGTTTTTTCGTGGGAGCTGTTTTTGTCATCCTATGAATGGCGCTCACTCTCAAATTTCCACGTACTCATCATCAAAATGTCCCTCTGCATCTTCCTCCTGTCAAGGCCACTGCACCTTTTGGCTTCCAAGCCAAGCAATTGGAGCATAATGGAAAAAAAAAATTTGTCATCTCGTGCAGGCACTCGCTTCATGTAAAATCACAGTCATCAAATGTAGTAACGGCCTAGATGTTTCTCCTAATATAATGATTGTGCCTAACTTACCTATCAATATATAATGATGGTACAATATTTGTCCATCAATCTCTTTTCAATTTGGATAGAAAAATAGAGAGAGCAGTACTTAAGTGATATCTAATAGTATAACTATTGTGTCTAACTTACCCATCAATATGTAATGACGGCTCTTTTGTCTCGTTTCTCGCTCTTTTCAACACTACCATTGCATGAAACAGTCAAGTTTGTTTGGAGTGATTTTTACTTTTCACCTTTTCAAATCTTATAGTGCACATCAAAATTTTAAGCTCTCGGAACTTTCAAAATACATAAATGATGTTGGCACACAATTCATGTATAGATTTATGATATTTTTTGGAATTTGAAAAATATTTTAATTTTGGCGGGAAAGTAAAAAAAATTGCATTTTACTTTGAGATGCAGTGAAAGTCCTAAAATTCGTGTTGATCAATCTCTATCATTTTGAAAACCTTTTCTGAGTTAGATAAGTCCTAAACCTGGTTGCCAATTTTTCGAATTAGTCTTTCTGTTACCTGCGTCACCTTTTAGTGACTGAAAAATCCAAGCTAGCATTTTTCATTCGTTTTTTGTCCATGTGGCTGTTATCTAAACGACGGAGCTTGTTAAAGTCCAAGAAGGTGTCACTTAACATAAAATGAGATGTCATTTTGGTGTTACTCATTTTGTTTTATGTTTCAAATAAAATTAAAAACTAGAAATCATCTACAAATTGTAGAAAAATAAAGTTAAAAATAAGAAAAAAGGGTCGGGGTGACGGGATCGTAAAGAAGAGCCGAAAAGGGGCGAGGGCCGCACCCCTCACTGAGTCACTGGAGTTGCGACTAAGGTGGTCAACCATTGGTTGGTGGTGGCAAGGGTTGCCATAGCCATGAACCGAGGGCCCTTGCCCTCGCCTACTCTTGGTGAGGGTGCTCACCGGTGGCCCGATGAGGGTTCGCTTTCAAATAAAGAAGATAAAGTAAAGAAGGTAATACGATAAATGTCACCCATTCATCTTGCACCCCACCTCGGCCTCGCTCAGATTTTTTTTTTTTGGTCTATTTTATTATAACTCTCAACTTTTTCTCAAATTTTTGCCCTGGCTCTTTGGAGGACGTGAAAATCGAAACCCACATTTGAAACTAAACGTTCCCACCCTTAGCCCCCCGAGAAAATGAGGAATCAAATTCCCTACCTTCCCTTCTCAAGTAGGAAGGGTGGCTACTGGGGCAAATCCTAGTGGTTGCCTCGCTCAAATTTTGTGCCACTTTTTCCTTTTCTTTTCTAAAAATTTAAGTCTCTGTTATTTTTTTAGTGTTTTGTGACGTGGAGAGCGCCACTCGGGCAAAAAATAAAAAGTATAAAAAATGTCACATAGATTTTCCATCCAAGACAAAATTGCAGAGTTAACAGAAAGACGGCCACAAGTTTTAGCATTTAAAAACAAAAAGAAAACTTTTAAGACTATAGTGATGAATGGTTATAGGTTTTAAAGATTTCCACCATCATTATTCCGTTTACTTCTGAAAAGCCCGAACAAACGTGTGAAAAGAATTTTTTCTTTCTTGAGATAACTGTCGATCTACAAGCATAGCGCATGCTCAATCCAGTTTGTAATGGCCTATAAGATTATTAAACATAATTAGACAAACCTTTAGTTATAAAAGAAGAATAGCAACTTGTTTCTTAACTATATTAATTTACGCCATGATGATCTATGGACCACTACTTAGAGACAACTACGACATAGAATATAAAGCGTCAAGTACAATTTTAGAAATTTTATGGGGAAACTCCTAACTTTTAGTATTTCGGTAGGGCTGCAAGGATGGGCTCGTGCTCATATGAGTGGATTGATCATTAGTGGGTTTGGAACCTTTGTAATAATATCTAAAAAGAGGAGTGCCGCCGGTATTTTCTCCCCGCTCTTTTTACTTATTGAAAAACACACAAGGTCGCCAGGGGTAAATTAGTATAGAATCTATAATCTCTTAGAAACTATAGGATGTCCATTGTCCTTTTTGGATATCTAAAGATAGATAAAGTGGACTACTTTAATGACTCCCATCTAGATTTAGGGAAAAAGTCACAAAGTGGCAAGAGATATTAGCCCCTATAGAGAGAAGCCTGATAAGACGGTCTTTCGATAGTTTAAGTAGGGGAACCCTCGACTTAGCCACACTCTAATGTATTGGAAATGATACCGTGGGATGGCTGCAAAGCTAAGCGAATTGCTTCTGCTCCTCCAAGAACAGCGTCCTCCGCTCTTCTCTTGGTGGCATTTCCCTTGGCTTAGGCTGATTGCTGCCAATATGTGCAAAGGCAAGAAGAGTGTAGAAAATCATGAACTATATCCACTGTGGCATATATACTCTAAACTTTTTCTTGCGACATGAAAAACCCCAACTTTTATATATATAACATATTTGTCTTCCATCAAGGTTCTATCATCCTCCGTCAAGGCTCTATAAATTGATTTTTTAGCCAAAACGTTATTTTTATTTCACTTAAGCCACGTGGGGCGCCATGTCAACACCGTTTAGTTTCGGTGTCCATGTAGCCAGATTTTTAGCGGTTTTCATTAACGAAACTCTGAAGGAAGGTAAATGCATCACAGAGGTACAAATTTGGGATTTTTCGTGTTATAGGAAAAAAAAAAAAAGGTTTAAGATAAACGTGTCAAGGCGGGCATAGTTCGGGATTTTAGGTGACTGTTGGCCCCCTCCTAGATTTATTGGTACTTGAAAGACCCATCTTTGAGCTAGGCCCAATCCAATCCGTGCGATTTGGGAGGGACAGAAACATCGGGCCCATCAATAATGGGCCAAATTGGATCGACGCACAGGCCCAAACGGGCCCACTTCCTGAAAACGGCAGCGCCCCGTCAGAGCATGAGAAGAACCCAGGAAGTCACGGCTTGACCCGACCCCTGCCTGTCCCCCCGAGCATTCAAATAACGTTCGCCTCCTCTCCCCCTCACGGTCGCAGATCTCGTCCTCCCGTTTCTCGAACCTTCTGCCGTCCCTCTTGGTTGGGGGCTCGATCTCGCCCGCGCCTCGCCGATCGCTGACCGCCATGTCCGAGGACTTCGAGTTCGCCGATCAGGTCCCTCCGTCGTTCGGTCGCACGGTGCGTTCCCTCGCCCCATCTCTCTCTCTTGCGCGCGCGCGCGCCTGGCAATCGGGAAGTCCCCCTGGTTCTGTCGATAGAATCTGGCAGATCTGTGCTTATTCTAGTGTAAATGTCTCGCCTTTCGAGTCGTATATGCACGCGCGCGCGTGTGTGTGTGTGTGGGGAATTGGGCTTGCCTTGTGTGGAGAATTCGCGGCGGTGCTCGATTGGGGTTCGATGTTGCGCTTCTTGGGTTCTCTGTTTCTTGCCTGTTTTGGTCCGGCTTTGAATATACCGATGCACGCCCTTTAATCTTGGGATCGATCGGAGCAATCCATTGCGAAACGCTTGCGATGGCTTGAGGAGTAGTGATTTTCCTTTGGATTGGACGTGTGGATGCGCTCTTGATTCTTCTCGAGGAGACGAATGGGTAGAGCGAGTGAAACCCTATATCGGGAAGAGGGAAAGAGCCCATGCAGCTGTTATGTCAGGCAATATGGTTTGGAAGATCGGCAATACTCTATTCATGATCTAAACAATTTAGCTTTTCGTTCTTGAGCCGAGTGATCTTCCATTTAGGTCGAATTAGTGAAATGCTATGAGGTTGGACTGGTTTTGTGACCCCAGAGAGTCTGTTCTTAATACGGAAGATCGATCTCTCTCTCTCTCGGCTTAGGATTTTTTTAATGGAAATAGTGAAATGCTGTGAGGTTGGACTGGTTTTGTGAACCCAGAGACAGAGAGGGAGATGGAGGAGAGATTGGACACATGAATATTGTACACAGAAGGAGGCAGCAGACTCGGGGTTCTTTTTACCCTGGGGGCCCTTTTTGCTCGATAGGTGGAATTGGAAAGTATGTTTGGCTTGAATGACTGAGGAGCTATCTCATAAAGTGAGATGTTACAACCAAAATGCCTTTTGATTTGTCGGCATATGATCTTTTTGATGTGTTCTTGGATTCTTTTACCTACCTTTCTTCATTCTTCTTCTCTAGGCAATTTCCAAGTCAAGATTTGCTCTTGATACAAGAGCTTTTGTCAATAGCTTAATTTTGAAATCGGAAAATCAAAGACTGGCAGTTGCTTTTGCCTCTTTTTTCCCCTTCAAAAGTAAGAGTATGTTAAAGTTGCTTGATCACCGATAAGGCTAATGTGGTGAATTTTGTGATGAATTTTCTTCGTTCTAATATCATTACTATGATTCCAAAACTCAAGCCAATATCTTTCATTGGTTGGATCTAAGATCTTTCCATGGGACTTTCGTGGATTAGGTCTCTAAGACCTTTCTCAAGAAAAAGAGAATCTCGCAAATAGGCCACCTAGCTGGCAATTGTTGTTTGCTTGAAGCCCAATTTCGTTCTCATGAAATCTGGCATGAGTTTATACTAGTCAATCAATTCTTAGCCTCATGCTACTTATCTTTTATTGATCTTCTGGATTGTATGATTGTCTGTGGCTCAGTGACTGTCATGGGTTGAATCCAAGACCTTCCCCTAAATAAATGAAGCCTTGGATGTTTGCAAATAGGCCATTTAACTGGCAATCTTTGGATGTTTGAAGCTCGGTCACCTTCGCATTAGTTTATACTATTAGATTGATGCTGAGCTGTATGCTTCTTTTCTTTTGATGATCCTCTCAGATATGAGTATTCTTGGCTCATCTGGGAGAAAGAGACTTTCCATTTTCTTATATACTTGAATTGAAGCAAATCTATCTACCTGATGAAATTGATCGTTTCCGTACTTCCAAACAGAGGGTTGGCAGGAATAACTTTCTCGCATAGCTACGAATGCCTATATAAATGTCGTTATGCTCATTTTAAGATACAAACTCATGTTAAAAGGAACTAGAGAATGCTATGAATGAAAGGTGGTTATCTTCTCCCTTTTAATCTATTTATATAGAAATAACTTAAACTATGTCATGTAGGGAAAAGCGGCTGCAGATGCTGGAGGGTTCAACCCGGGATTGGTCGTGCTGCTGCTGGTTGTCGGGATTCTGTTGATATTTCTTGTCGGGAACTATTTGCTTTTCGTGTATGCGCAAAAGACCCTTCCTCCTAAGAAAAAGAAGCCAGTCTCTAAAAAGAAGATGAAGAGGGAAAAACTGAAGCAAGGGGTTTCTGCACCAGGAGAGTAGAACTTGTGCTTCCTATTTAACGGCTCGATGTCCTTGACTCCAGAATTTTTCCTTTATCTGGTATTTAAGACACTATTGGATTGTCTTCAAGATTGGTTTACCTTGTTCTTGTTGGGTGCAGCTGGTAAAATAATTTGCTAAAATGTCGTTTACCCTAGGATTAATTAAGGAATGTTACTTCGACATCATATGTCTTTCCAGCTATAGTCACAGCCACTGAAATCATCAGTTTCGACCGTTCCGTCATTTAACTGCTTGCTGACCTGCATTGTTTCGGGGAGAGGGAGTTCTACTTTCCCTGATGTGGTTCATTTCACTGAGAGATGATTCTAGGGCGAGTAGAATGAACATGCAAAGCTTAAATCTAGGGGAGGTGCCCTAGTGACCGCACCTTCAGCGGGAAATGAGAGATTTTGATTTCCATAAAGAGTTAAGCTGTACTCGTGACTTTGTAATTTCTTAATGTTGTCGGGGTGGTAGAATGTCACAATTCTTTGAAGTTGGTTTGATGTTGACTACCGTCGGACGTTTCAATTTCAACCTTGTAGGGAAGGGGAGGTGTTGTGACCTGTGATCCATGGGTTCCCTCTGTTCTTTTAACAAGTGAACTTTTCGGAGCAAGATAGGTATTCGTCCTGATATGTCTGCCCTAGATTTCCATGAGCCCTATCGAGAGGATGTCACAGCTTTCAAAACCGGCCTTTCATTGCAATGAACCGACGGGGAGGATGTCCCATTGTTTTGACTTTGGAAATTTTGTACTGCAAGCCATGCTTAATTCAATATAAGTCGAAAAATTTTCAATTGGTTTAATTAAGTCATAAAATTTCAGAGAAGTGCAATTGAGGGCTATAGTTTTCGATTGGTTCAATTAAGTCTTAAATCACTACCATCTGTGCCCTATTTTCGATCTCTTCGCTGTTTGAAAAGGATGGTTACTTTAAGGTCCTCTTGCGTAGGGACCGAATCCTCCGAAGGTGGAATTTTAATCTCACATAAGAGTTCCTCTTTTCCTTAGTCTATCTTACACTCCAACTAGGAATAGTCAACCCCTGTGTAAGGTGTATTGACTAGGGATAAGCATTGGAACCGTTTCCACTGGCCGCATTTGAGCGGTTTCCGATTCCTAAAATTTGGAACCGGTGATAATTGGTCCGGTTCCTAGTTTTAGGTGTGCACTAAACTACCTGGATCGATTATGTTTTTTTTTTCCTTACAATTCTCATTATTAAAAAACTTTTTTAAAAGTTGAGTCAAGACTTAAAGAAGCGGAGAAAACCCTTATAGCCTATATGTGGAAGATCTTCAGTGAAAACCTTAATAGCCTGACTACCTGTACCTCTTCGCTCGACACCTCCCTTTCGCCTTAGCCGCCTCCCTCTTGCTTGAGCATGGAACGAATGAAGGCGATCAAGGAGCAGACAGATCTGGAGGTCAACCTCCTTCGGGACAGCCTCGTCGACATCGCAGCGGTTTTCTTCTTCTGAGACTAGGGAGATGGAGAAGACGAGCGCGTTCTTTGTGATAGACAGGGAGATCAAGGAGCAGTTGACACCTAAGAAGACCGATTTGGGGATGGGCATCATATCCCTTTATTCTAAATAAAAGTGACTTACAACAAAGAGCAAAAATTAAAACCCTTTTATTTATAAAAAAAATAGCTATATAATATTAATAAAAGAAAGATAATTTTGGGTGTGTCAGATACCTTTTGGCATCATATCTCTCTCTGCACACTTTACTAAGGGATATCTTAGCCAGTTTCCGTGGGTCTCGCGAAGATTAAGAAGGAAAATAGTGTGTCAAACATCTTTCTTCCTGGTCCTTTTCAAATAAATTAATAACCATTTATAGAAGAAAATGAGAAATAGTTATGACTATGCTTTGGCCCGATTCTCGGATAGAACCGAGAACCAGACCGGTTCTGGAACCAATGGTTCGAGAATTGATCGGTCCGGTTCTTGGTTTTAGAACTTTAAAACCAAGAACCATAGACCCGATCACCCTTAGGAACCGATCACCCGTAATATTAACCCACAGAATCTGCTGGTTGGTTATACAGGCAAAGAATAAAAAGCGGTAGCCTGCTTCTCCCCTCCATTGATGAAGGGGACTATGTTTATAACAAAATTTAGCAAATGCAGGTATTTAGTTCCCTTGTGGTGCCTCCCATAGTATTAAGATTGATTTTTAGCATCAAGCTAGATTCTTATTTTGAACATAAGGCCTTATGGCCTCAATTTCTAATGCACAAGATCCTCATGGAGGTGAGTGCAGAGCATATTATGCTATCTTACCATATGAAGATTCCTAATACCAAAAAGATATTTGAAGAGAAGAAGGAAGAAGATTTAGCCTTGCATGATTTTTACACATTACAACACGAGATTTTATTATTAGAGGAACTCTGCCCTTCAAATGATATAAGCATAGGGGAAAGATAAGACAAACATCAATAATACAACAATGTGACCAATTATTGGTCAGAAACTGAGGCCAGAAGGCCTTATGTTCATAATAAGAATTTAGTTGGATGCTAAACATCGATACCGACAAAGTAAGGCTTATGGGAGGCATTGCAAGGGTGCTGAATACCTGCATTTGCTAAATTCTGTTATGAACATAACCCTCTTTATGGTATCATAGCCAGATTACGTGCTATAATATCATTCTAAGATTTGTAATACCACAATGTTTGGAGGGAAGGTATTACTTCATCATGAGTGAGAACACCCAAACTAAAATACTTTCTACTCCTGTAGTAGATGTTCCGGTCACCCTAATTCCATCAAGTTCTTTTCAGCAATTTGAAGCCTCCAAGATTGATTGGCTTTATGAGGTATCCTACTTCAATAAAACCAAGAAGATCTTACCTACTATTCTTCCTCCTGTAAATCCTTATGCTGCTTTTGTCAAACAAACATCTTCTGTTTCTCCCAACCACTCTATCAGACAGTTAATCTGTCACACTCTAAAAGAGGCGAAGGAATATGTACAATTTATCCGGTTTGATCAACATCCAATTCCTACTAAGTAGCAAGAACAATTTGTTACTCTTCATATTCTTCCTGATTTCCTTCAACAATGCATTCCGCAAGGGTACACCTATTTGCACTATGGTGCAATTCTTCTCGCCTTGTCTTTCCATGGTTGAGTGGTTGTCCATATAGCTCTTCCAGATACAAGATTTCTTGACTACTAACATGCTTGTATTAGAACAGTCGAGACTTCCTTAAACGTTGGTACGATGTTTGTCACCCTTTTTCCAAACCTTTTGACCCTTAACATTTTATTGCCTTGAAAGTCTACTCCCCAAGTAGCAGATTCTTTTGTTGCTACTTTGCACTATGATAACTCTATAAAAATAGAGTTATTTTACCTATTTTAGGTAACAAATAATGCACTATTTGTGAGAAAATATTTGGATTTGTTTCTATTTACTCAAATTTTCCTTGTTTATGCAGAATAATGAGACACGGAGAAAATAAGGAAAAAATGACAAAAAGAAGGAAATGAAGATGCTACCTAGAGTTAGAAGGTGAATACCAATTTGAGAATTCTGTGATTTATATCCTAATTTTATGCGAAAAAGAAGCAATTGTCTTGTGATAGGAGTCTAGGATATTATCCTTATAGGATAACATCGAAAGGTTGGGGGGACAACTATTTTTTTTTTATCATTTTTGTTTTCACTATTATGGGAGTTTTTCAAATATTTGAAGAGAAGACAAAAAGTGGTGACAAAATTCTTGTTCTTTAATTCAAGATGTTTGGTTTAATTTATATTTCTGCTTCTTCTTCTATTATGTTCTAATTTTCTTTTGTTAGGGCTACGATGTAGCCTAACCATGATGATATGAAAATCATACTTTTTATACACTATGAGTGATTTCATTTATGTGAGTTATATATTATTGTGCTTAATGCCTTTAAGTGACTGGCCACCATTTAAATGATATGATGTGTATGTTTGAGACTGAGAAATGATAATATGCAATTGCTCCTTATAATATATAATCATCAATTAAATGTAGATAGATGTATACCATGTTATTTGTGTGACTTTCGGTTATAAGGTGGTCCAAAAGATTTATTGTAAACCAAGAATATTCACATATTTTAATGCACTTATGTTTATTTAAATTCACATAAAGATATAGTGGATTGATAAACTGAGTATGTTTGCTACACCTAGAGATATGATAGTAAACAGACTAGGAAATTCCGCTATCACATGTTTGATATTGTTCTTGTATGCATAATGATATGAAATTCATATCTAGTGCTTATGATGAAATTGGATGCTCTAACATATTTTATTTGATTGATTATTTGCCTTTAGTTCCAAAATTTTGTTTCTTAGATTGTCAATTTTTATTTATTCTCAATTTTATTTTGATATGTTAGATAAATTTTAGAATTAGTCCATTTTTAATATTTAGTTGGTTTATTAATTATCAATCTCTGTGGGACGATATTCTTCTCATCATTCTATTAGTTGTTCGACATTTTCGTTGACTCGTTCATTTGCATTTAGAATTTTACGAACACACTGTCAAATGCTGTATAGGGTGTAGAACCACACCATAGATCTTTCTCTTCTAACATCAAAAGATGCCTTAATGATCTCCGTGGACAATAACCATACAACATCCTGTGTTTATGTCCTTAGACAAATTTCCATAGATGAGTTGGTTAAACTCCTCCCAAAATCTTGGCTAACCAACTATAAAAAGCTCTACAAGGATGTCCGGTCTAGTCCACTAAATCAAAGTTTACCAAGAAAAAGGATGGCAATGTGGTTATTAAACTTGACAGCATGAGCAAAAGATAGAAGCATCCAACTCTATTATGGTCCAACCTGTTCAAGACCACCAAGAAGATGCAAGTGGTAATCCTATTTACTCGTTTGATGCAAGTGGTAATTGTATTTACTATTTCAAAGACCCGGTTACATGACATTGTTATTAGGATGTGGACTACTAGTGTGAACTTTGTACAACCCATCTAGAAGAAGAAGATGATTGCCATTTGACGAAGAAAAAATAGAAAAAGGCCCAAGATCCTTTCTACCAGAGATATCTAGATGGAGATTTTTCCATAGGTCCTCTTGGTGAAGATGGTGGAAGGTAATAGTTTATGGTATCCTATGTAGTATTTATTTTTACTTCCGTATTACCTCCAGTCTCCTCATCGCCACCTCCTGATCATGAGCCTAATGAACCACCAAAACTAAAGCTTCGAAAAATAAAGTTAAAACAAGAACCCATTCCCCCATTTCACAAACCCATTTACAAATGGATTAAAAAATAGTTATCTTGCAGATGAGGAGAAGCTTATCCTCCTATTGATCTAGTGTCAAATGACCAAAAAGTCGGATAACTTGAACAAAATATGACCACACAACTTTTGGTTGTTTGTATGTTCTCTTCCGTCGAGTTTCCCCCATCGACACCTACACCTCAGTTAGAACAAGAGTTTGAGATAACTAATTTGGGTCAAAGATTGGAACATATTGCTAAAGTACCAAATCTTTTAAGAGTTGACGCTAGTGGAAACCCCAAGAAGCTTTCTACGGGAGAAGCTATCCTTAATTGATAAATTGAGAATGCTTTTCTTCAAAACAAGGTGCTTGCTTCTCATATTACTGCTCATCGGCAGATTAACATAATTCTCAGAACCATACATGAAGGTCTCAGTGCTTTACAAGAACGACTTGATCGTGTGCATCGGAGAGCTGACCAAGGTATAGAAATTTCCATCAAAATAAAAGAAATGACTAGAAACCTTGAAATAGTTGGAAGAATCCAACATCATTATTTGGATAATCCGATGGAAGAAATAACAAAAGTAAACAACAAATAGTTGAACTGAAAGAGGTCTTCCTCATCATCTGAGACAGCTAGCTAATCCTTTTGCCCCAACTGCTACTCCAACTCTACATCTTAATAGTTCTTTGTTAAACTCTACTAAAAATATATTTGCAGAGATCTCAGCTAGGCAAGATTTGATGCCTCGATGCCATGATATCAGAACTCTACGAGAGTGTGTTTGAGACTTGAAAAGGAAAGGAAAAACCTTAGAATCCAAGAACAGAGATCCTTTTTCATTATTCATGATCTCTAATCCTATTGAGTCTTTTCTGTGACAATAGCAACAACAAGCTTTTCCAGCTGTAGAAACAATTGCAACTGAACTAGATCAAACTGAGGAAAGTTCAAGTGATGAATTGGATACTTTATCCGAATTAACCATAACATTACCTTTAGAAGACACTCAGTAGCATGGAGTAATGATGGCAGATGAAGATGATGACATGGAATCAACTGCAGAACAATTCCAATCGAGCTGGTCTAATGTGTTTCAAAGAGAAAGTAGAAACACGACTTCTTCAAAAGATTGGGTTTACTTTGGATGATCTTCCATACTTGAAGTGAATAGATCGACTAAAAGAATTTCATGCCTAGATGACTACCATATCATTAAAGTCAGAACTATCAACTATGATATTCTATCTGAATTTGTTAGTGGGTTTAATAGAAGTCTGAAAGGTTGGTAGAACTGCCTTACCCTAGCCGACCATAATCATTTTTTGGCATTTGAAGACTTCTACCATGCGCTCAGTTTGATTCACCAAATTTTTATTGGTGTTATAAAACATCAAAAGGAATGGAAGCGGTGAGAATTCTTTGAAAGGAAATGTTGTTCTTGTAAAAGAAAAGATCTAGATTGACACTTCAAAGAAATGATAAAACTCTTCGATGATATAGGAGTTGATCTGGCCCTCAAATAGTCTTCTTGATGTCTATTTCAAAAAATATTGCCATAACTGTTGAAATAAATTTTCAGATCAAAAGAAGAAGAACCTTGGATGTTACGTTTGGAGAAATCTAGCTAGAAGTTCGTCTAGCTATTGATAGTCTTTGCCAAAAAAGATACTCCATCAAATCCTATCTCTAAGCTAATGTCCAGTTAGACAAAACATTCTAGAAGTCTGAGTTGTAAATCAAATGTCCAAAAGGACATATTAATTGTGAGTGCTCCACAAAGAAGCGGGAGCACATCTGAGGAAGATTAAGTTCAAATCTTCCAAGAAGAAGAGGTATAAGTTTATTTGCAAATCGAAGTTTCCAAAAAGAAAAAGGGAACACATGTTTCATTTGCGGACAAAAATTGCATTTTGCTAAAAGGCATCCTAAGGCAACTAAGAAAAATAAGCATGATCTAGAAGTTTGAGAAAACAATAGGTATTTCTCTTGATAATGATGATCTTGAATCCGTCTTTTCTCTTGGAGATGATGTACAAGAGAATATCATTTGTGCTATTGAAACTTTTGATAGTGAGGATGAAACACCTAGTGACACTAATAGCCTTTACTTTATGAGTACAACACTTCCTCCAGAGCCCGCACACCTACCAATTGAAAACCTTGAGACCTCTATCAATCCAGACCCGAAGCCTTTGAAAACCTTGAGAGTTTCAAAATCACCTCCTCTCTTAATCCATATCTACCCATACACATCATATTCACTATGTATGATATGCATGTCCATGTTATCGCACTTATTGATACTGGAGCCAGTGCATCCATCATTGATCTTAAAATTCTTCCTGACAAATTTTAGGAACCACAAATCAGACACTTCTGGTGAATGAGATATTCTCTACAAACTAAGAAGCAAGCCCATAAAGATTCGTTTTTTTCCCTAAATGCTCAATTACTACTAGAATCTTGGATCCTCAGATCCAAACAAAGACGTCATAGTTGGATATGATATTCTCAACCAACTTGCTGCTCTTCAGGTACTTCATAATGGTCTATGCTTTAAAGACAAGTTCAAGAAATTTGTTGACATCAAAAGGATGTATTCCTTGCAATCAGCCCCATAAATTGATTTTGCAGCAGTTGCTGAGTTCATGTGCAGAAATTCACTCAGAGTGTTTGGCAAAATGCTTCAATCATTTGTGGCAGAATTTTGAGTTCTTTGTCCATTTGCCTTTCAAGAAAAACGAAGATATCAACCCAATAAAGGTAACTTATTCAGGGATGAAACCAAAATATGCAATCCTAGCTCTTCAAGAATGCTAACAGTTAGTTCAGCAAGGAATAATCGAGCCATCTTACTCTCAATGGGCATGCGAAGCTTTCTATGTCAACAAATGAGCTGAGCAAAATAAGGGAAAGAACATATATGTAATAAATTACCAACTTCTAAACCATTTCCTACAAGATGATGACTGTCCTCTACTCAACAGAAAGGCTTTGTTTGCACGTTTAACTAATGCAAAGATCTACTCCAAGTTTGACCTCATGGTGGGGTTTTAGCAACTTGGAATTCAACCAGAAGATAGCAACAAAATACGGTTATGCATTCCCAATCAGCATTACCAGTAGAAAATACTCTCTTTTGGATTAAAGACTGCACCTTCTCTCTTCTAGAATGCTATGTGCAAAATTTTTCAGTTTATTAGTGCTAGTTCTCAAATTTACATTGATGATATCCTCTTATTTAGCCTTGATGAGCAATCTCACTATAAATTACTAATCCAATTTGCTGATGTTGTTAAGCAGTACGACATAATGCTTTTACAAAGGAAGATGATAATAGCTTAGAAGAAAATTGTGTTCCTTGGAATGGATTTCAAGGATGGTTCTTACTATTCAGGGGAGCATATTGCCAAAGAATTATTAAAGTTTCCCGATGAGAATTCCCCCCTAACAAGTACAACAGTTTCTAGGTATTATCAATTACGTAAGAGACTTTGTGCCAAAAATTTCAAAACTCATACATCTACTCTAGAAGATGCTAAAAAAAGATCCTCCTCCCTGGGGAAAATCTTATACCATTGTAGTTAAGGCTCTCAGAGAGAAATTCAAGGATTTTTTTCCATTGCAAATTCCTTCAGATGGCAAAAGAATTCTCCAGACAGATGCTAGTGATAAATATTGGGCCGTTATTCTCCTAGAAGAAGTTGAATGCATGAGGTGTATTTGTGAATTCAACAGTGAAAGGTTCATAAATGCTGAAATGCATTATTACTCTATCTTCAAGGAAATCTTAGCACTTAAGTTTGGGATCATGAAATTTCAATTCCATCTTTTGGTTATTATTTAATTGTTGAAATGGATATATCATCCCTCAATTAGATGATGAAGTTCAAATAGAAGCAATTGCCTTATCCACAACTTCTCCGATGGGCTAAATGATTTTCAAAATATTCTTTTGAGTTCAAGCATATTAAAGAAGACAAGAATGTCCTTTCAGATATCCTTTCCAAACCCAAAGAAGATTCTTCATTGTTCATGTCACGCCCCGAACCCCTCGAAGCGCGTACATCCCATGTACTGGTTGATTATAGAGCAACGCTCCCAGGAAGCGTCGCCGACCTACGCCCAAAACAGAGATCAAGCACAAGCAGAAGCATTAAATAAACAAACCCAGACGACTACAATATGAGCCAATGATAGCCATACATCAAAACCTCGTATAAAATAATTACATATTTATATTACTATAAAAAAAAACTATTTGTACAATATTTACAAGTACAAACAAAAAGGTACACACGTTCAGTAGCCACTTGATCAAAAAGTGGTAAGCGGCTAGGGAGGTCAGGCTAAAACTTGGGAGGAGGGCTACAGTTCAAAAAGTAGCGGCCCTCGCTCCTAGCTAAGGACACAGGGCGACCCTAGGGCTCCCAGTCAGGGTCGGACGACTCGGTAGAATCATCTGGCAACTCCTCGGAGGCATCCTCGCTAGAGCTTGACTCCTCCGAATCCATGGCCTGTGCTCGCTCATCCTCGGCTGCGATCCTCTCGTCTTCCGAATCTAGCTCGAACTATGGGTCTAGATAAAACCTAACTCGTCATCTTCCTCAGCTCCTATCTCCACATCGGACCCTACCTCGGCGACCTCTCCAATCTCTTCCTCATCATCTATGTCCATGTCTTCAAATTCCTCTTCTTCGTCTTCGAGCTGATCATAATCTTCGGCGATTACTTGAGGCTCCCCATGCATGGGCTCATCCACGCCGTCTACGTCATACCCATCCTGAGGATTGACTATCTCACCATCAGCCATCCGTGGAATCATCAATCAATTTTGGTCGACCGGCACATCAAAAGTCCTAAGGGTTTGCCCTAGGTTTTCGTCTGCATCTCGCAAGCACCAGGCTACGTACTCCTGAGTCTGATGAAAATACTCTCCCACGTTTATAAACACCACGGACCGGTATCTTACATATGATTCCCCATTTCCTGCGGGGTAGGTACTGGTGTACTGGTGTATCTGTACAGGTATTCCAAAAAGCGGCGGATTCGGCATCTTCACGGCTGAGGGTATGAAAAGTTTCGGTTTACACAACCGTGAGACGAATCTCAATGAGTTCAACCCCTAAACCTAGGCTAGGCTAGCATGCAATCTCCTGACGGGACACAAATAATTGAAACCATAATGCAACAACAATCAAACAATTCTCTGACCCTGCAGGTTAAACAGTTCAATATATAATAATCACGGCACATACGTGGCACACATTATTACACGTACGCCAATCACATGCTCATGCACCGAGTCTCACACACTCGCATGTCAGTCCCTGCATGTTCATGCATGCAAATGTCGTTGACATGTCACGTGCATCTCCCGGCCCACTGGCACACTGGCAATCGCCCAATTTATTATTTATTACGACTCGAGTCAACAACATTCACGGCCCGGTGCGTCTAGCCTGCTTCAAAGTGCATGAGGATGGTTGTCTTCCGGACGTACCGGGCATCATCCTGCTTCAACTTACATGAGGACGGTATCGACCCGAAGGTCACAACCCGAAGGTCCTTAGGTGATCACATAACCAATTATTATCTGAACCCCGCGTAACACGCTTCAGGGCATTTTAGGTGATCACATGCTCATGGCGGGCACGCATTCTCGCATAATTTCACCACATGCCTCACTCTTGGCATACACAATGCGTGTCCATGTTATGCAATGCAATGCATCACGAGCACCAATATAATTCAAACACTCAATGTCACAACAAGCACCCAATTGGCCCAATTAATACCGTGTGGCCTAACGTGCAGTTCACAAATCAACAATTAATTTCAAGCCAGACAGTGGCCAATCGCACTCCACAAAAATCAGTCACACCACATGCGACATAGCAGTACTCAGTCAATCACAATTAAGCACGAATTACATACAATCAATCAACCCGGACATACCCGGCAATTCCACCAATGGGCTCCTAAATTGGCCAATCAATCCAATTACTCTCCCCAATAAATTTTCATTGATCCACTGCATTTTTCCCGATAATAATTCCTACCAATCGGTACACTAATTCCTCTCAGCATGTACTAGTATTCCTAAACCAGTCCAGAAAAATGCACTATCAGTCCTAATCCGGGTTTAGGAATTTTACTCACCTAATCTAAGGCCACGACGACGAGGAACGGCGGCCGATCACTGGTGAACAGTGGAACCGGCGGTGGCGTTCCCGGCGATGGCGTACGGATGGCGACGTACGGACACTCGTATGGACACTGTGCGGACACCGTACGGACGGTGGTGAACAGTGACGTACGGACGTGGGGGACGTCACAGTGGCAGCAGCTCGGCCGTACGAGCTCCGGCGCGGCGGCGGTGGGGCTCTGGCGCGGCGGCGGCGCTAACCCTGGAGAGAAAAAAAGGAGAGAAAGAGAGAGAAAGGGATCGGATAGGGGCAAGGCTGAAGCTAGGGGCTGAGGTGGTCGACGGGGAGGCACGGTGGCCGGCGGCGGCGCTCCGGTGGCCGGCGGTGAGCTCCGGCAAAGCCAAGCCGAGAGGGAAAAAGAGAGAGAAAGAGTGATCGGGAGGGAGAGAGGAGGTTCTGGCCGAAATGAGGGTGAGAGGAGAGAGAAACAGATTTAATTTGATCAAATTTTAGGGGCTAGGGTGCCAAGTGTCACAAATCTAGCCCAAAATGACCATTTTGCCCCTCATCCAAGGGCCACCATTAAATCTTATCCAATAATTCAAGGGTATTTTGGTCCTTTGCTGCAATAATTAGGATAAGTCCAATTTTAATTAATTTCCTTAATTATCCCCCAAAATTCGGAACCAAAAATTAGCCCAGGGGCAAAACCGTCATTTTTCCGATCCCGGGACGAAGTTCCATTTTTCGCCCGTACCAACCCTCCATGTGCGTGGCCAACATAATGTGGTGTCGGAATCACGAAAACAGACCTTTAAGCCCTCGAAAATCGACTGCAAAGTTTCGAGAATAAAATAATATTATTTTTCACTTCTGAACCGAAATTCCAATTTTCAACCATACTTACTCAAAATATGCGTGGCCAGCATAATATGACGTCAGATTCCCAAAAATAGTCTCTTAAGCCGTTGAAAATCGACATCGAAATTCGAGCCCAATTTCGTGATCATAACTCGCTCGATTTCAAATTTCAGGGTCTCTCATTAACGGGCGGCTGTTTAGAGATTACGCGTATCGACCTAAGGTTATCCGAGTCATGACGGTTCTGATCATTGAGAGAATGAGAAATTATCACTAGTCCCAGAGGTCACGATCGTCTGGTTTAAGTTCAGGACTAGTTGGCCACGTGCACTCTCGGTCATGCAGAATCACCTGCGATCCGATTGTACATCGTTAGCCTTGGCCAAACCAAATCCGTCACCTTTCCTAAGATCGATCCACATTGGTTCATAATATTCTCTCATCATTTCTCGTGATCGGTGACTGCTTCACGATCGGGTCCCTGGTCCACGTACCGTTTTTCCCAGTTAGCCATTCCCCATTGGTTAGCATCCCAAGAGTGATCAGCTCTGGGCGAGACTTACTAAAATGAAATGCGAAATATTGCCAATTTTATTGATCCCGGAATTACATCGAAATTCGGGCTGTTACAATTCTTCCCCCCTTACAAAAATTTTGTCCTCGAAATTTGTAGTCTACACTTACTCCTCAAACAAGTAGGGGTGTTGATGTCGCATGGCCTCTTCGCTCTCCCAAGTGGCGCCTTCCGTCCCATGGTGTTCCCAGACAACTTTGACCATTGGGATCGTCTTGTTCCTCAGCACACGATCTTTTCGGTCCTCGATCCTAACTGGCCTTTCCACGTACGACACCCTGTCGTCCACATCAATCTGTTCGTACCTTAGGACGTGAGTCGGATCTGGTTCGTACTTTCTTAACATCGACACGTGAAAAACATTATGCACTTGGGATAGGTTAGGCGGCAAGGCAAGTCGGTAAGCCATATCACCAATCTTCTCCAATATCTCAAATGGTTCGACATACCTGGGACTGAGTTTCCCTTTCTTGCCGAATCGGGATAATCCCTTCATTGGCGACACCCTGAGAAACACATGATCTTCCACTTGAAATTCCAAGGGTCGTCGTCTTCTGTCGGCATAATTCTTTTGGCGACTCTGCGCTGTCTTCAGTCTGTCCCGAATGATTTCTACAGCTTCAACTGACTGCTATACTAACTCGGGGCCTGTGATACTTCGCTCACCTACTTCATCCCAACACAGGGGCGTCCTACACGCCTTACCATATAAGGCTTCGAACGGTGCCATTTGGATACTCTGCTGATAGCTATTATTATAGGCAAATTCCACCAAATGCAGCTGTTCTTCCCATTTGCCTTGGAAGTCCAACACACAGGCTCTCAGCATGTCCTCTAGGATCTGAATCGTTCTTTCCGACTGGCCATTAGTCTGTGGATGATAGGCCGTACTGAACTGCAACTTAGTGCCTAAGGCCTCTTGCAGACTTTTCCAAAAATTAGCTGTAAACCTCGGGTCTCGATTGGATGTAATCGTCACTGGCACTCCATACAGACGTACTATTTGCTGCACATATAATTCTGCATATCTTTCCAGCTCAAAATCCTTTCGCACTGCCAGAAAGTGCGCTGACTTAGCCGAACGATCCACTATGACCCATATAGAATCATGTCCTCTCTGGCTGCGCGGCAAACCCGTCACAAAATCCATCGTGATGTGCTTCCATTTCCATTCGGGAATCTCTAACGGTCTCAGCAGTCCTCCAGGCTTACAGTGCTGTGCCTTCACTTGTTGGCACGTCAAACACTTAGCCACATGCTTAGCCACATTAGCCTTTATTCCATTCCACCAATAATGTTGCCGCAAATTCTGATACATTTTCGTGCTGCCTGGATGGATACTATAATTGCTCCTGTGGATTTCTTCCTTGAGCTCTGCGTCATCAGGCACACACATTCTTCCCCGGAACTTCAAAATTTCATTTTCACTCACTTGGAAATCTGACTTCCTCTTAGCGGTATCCAATCCGACAATCTTTTGGATCTCCTGGTCCGTAGACTGCAGTTCCTTGATTCTAGTTTGAATCTCCGGCTCAATTCGTAATGCAGCTAGCAGAATGGACATCTGGCTCACTTCGAACTTGAACTCTGAATCTCTGAGCCTTTCCAATAATGTCCACTCCTTGACTATTAGGTGTGCCATACTAGACTTGCGACTTAAGGCATCAGCAACTCGATTCGCCTTACCCGGGTGATACAAAATGTCGCAATCATAGTCCTTTAAAAGCTCCATCCATCGGCGCTGCCTCATATTCAACTCTTTCTTCGAAAATAGGTACTTGAGGCTTTGATGGTCGGTATAAATCTGGAATTTCTCTCCGCACAAATAGTGTCTCCAGATTTTGAGGGCGAAGTCGATTGCAGCTAATTCCAAATCACGCGTCGGATAATTCATCTCATGGGGTCTCAACTGACGCGACGCATACGCTACCACTTTTCCATGCTGCATCAGGACATAGCCAAGTCCTCTTAGCGAAGCATCGCTATATATCTCGAATCCTCCTGGGCCCGACGGAATGGTCAATACAGGAGCAGTCGTTAACCGGTGTTTCAATTCCTGAAAACTCCTTTCACACTTGTCATCCCACTCAAATTTCACCTCCTTCTTAAGCAGCCTTGTCATTGGCATGGCTATTGACGAAAATCCTTCTACGAATCACCTGTAATAACTAGCCAATCCTAGAAAACTTCGAATCTCAGTCACTGATGTTGGTCTAAGCCACTTGGTAACTGCTTCAATCTTAGCTGGATCTGCAGAAATTCCATCTCCAGAAACGATATGTCCAAGAAATCCTACTCTGTTGAGCCAAAACTCACACTTGCTGAGCTTAGCATACAATGCATGCTCTCTCAAGGTCCGTAGCACTTCAGTCAAGTGTAGTTCATGTTCCTCGGGGATCTTGGAGTACACTAATATATCATCAATGAAAACTATCACAAACTGATCCAGGAATTCCTTGAACACCCGATTCATCAAATCCATGAAAGCGGCTAGGGCATTCGTTAATCCGAAGGGCATAACCGTAAACTCATAATGCCCGTATCTAGTTCTGAAAGCAGTCTTGGGAATGTCCTCATTTCTGATCCTTAGCTGATGGTACCCAGTCCTCAAATCTATTTTGGAAAACACTAAGGCTCCTTGCAATTAATTAAATAGATCATCAATCCTCGGCAGTGGATACTTATTCTTCACTGTCACTTGGTTTAGTTGCCGGTAATCTATACACAACCTCAGAGTTCCATCTTTCTTCTTGACAAACAGAACTGGCGCTCCCCATGGAGACGCACTAGGGCGAATAAAACCCTTGTCCAGTAATTCCTGTATTTGCACCTTCAACTCCTTCGGTTCATATAGGGACATCCGATATGGTGCCTTCGAAATTGGTTCTGTCCCAGGGGCCAATTCAATCACAAATTCCACTTTTCGATCAGGCGGTAAGCCCGGTAATTCTTGAGGGAAAACTTCGGGGAAATCACATACTACAGGTATATCCCCCAAATTAGGTTCCACCACTGTCGGATCTACAACATTCACCAGGTATCCTTCGCACCCATCATCCAACAATTTGGTCACTTCCAGCGAGGATATCCAAGGAATCGAGGTTCCTCCTCGGTTTCCCTGAAATACAAAACTAGGACGTCCATCCGGATTAAATTGGATCGTCCTATCGCTGCAATCCAATACAGCTTTCTGTCGGACTAACCAATCCATTCCAATGATCACATCGAAATCGAACATGGCCAATACTGCCAAGTCGATACTCTCTTCCTTACCCCCAATAATTATTTTACAGTTATGGCATCCAAAAGAAACTAACACCCTATCATTCATAGGTGTCAACACGCAAAGCACATTCTCAAGCAATACCGGTTTCATTCCAACCAACTTAATAAACTGCTCTGAAATGAAAGAATGGGTCGCCCCCGGATCAAACAATGCATAAGCGGCATGATCACGTAAGGAAATCGTACCTGTGACCACGCCCGGCGCATTCTCAGCTTCTCTGCGCGCCATGGCATAGACCCTTCCTTGAGCTGGTGGTCGCCCCTGATTAGCCGGTGGGGGAAGTCTGGCTTGATTTCCAATGCGCGATGGTGGCGGTAATCTAGGCGGTCCTGAGGGTTGCATCTGCGGGCAACTGCGAATTTGATGCTCCATACTCCCGCACTTAAAACATGCCCCATATCTACTCAGTTGGGGGCTCGGTTTCCCAAGATTCCGCTTGGCCGGTGGGACAAACCGTCTATTCCCAGATACAGGTTTCTTTCCCAAGCGGCGGTTGTCTCTGATCTGGGCAAACCGCGATCCAGATGCGGCTGTCCTATCCACCTGGTCCCACTCAAGAGCCTGAACTCTATCATAGATGTCCTCATAAGTTCTCAGATTGGACGGTATTAACAGGGTACGAATGTCAGGTCTCAATCCTTCTCGAAATTTTCGCGCCTTATCCTTGGGATGTTCCACCATCCTCGGCGCAAACTTAGACAATCTAGCGAATTCCGCCTCATACTGATCGACAGTCATCTGACCCTGCCGGAGTTGCACAAATTCTGCTATCTTCCTTTCCCTGGCACTATCCGAGAAGTATTTCCCATAAAAATTTTCAGTAAACACGGCCCAAGTCTGGGCGATACCTTCCGGAAATACTCTTCCTTCGGTGGCCTTCCACCAATCACTCGCATTTTCCTGTAACTGATAAACGGCTAGGGTCACTTTCTCTTGCTCGGTGCACCCTAACACCTCAAACGCCTTTTCCAGTTCCTCTACCCACTTCGGTGTAGCCTTGGGGTCACCTTTTCCTGTAAACTTAGGCGGCTTCAATTTCATAAATTGCTCCACTAGATGGGGCATCAGTCTAACCCCTGCTGGTTGGGCCTGATTTCTTTCATTACCAGCTATCGGGGCGACCTCAGCTGCCTGAGCATAAGCTACGGCCCTTTCCTGAGCCTGCAATCCCATAACACGCCCTATCTCCCGTAGGGTATTGATTACCTCATCAAACCTGGGATCTCTAGCCTCACGGACTCCCTCGCTAGCCTGGGCTCGGGGCTCCTTCCCCCTTCTCCTACTTGGAGCTTGAATAATATCCTCTAGTCGGCGGTCTCGGGCCTCTTGGCCTTTTGAACTAGGCTGACCCTGGGGCTCCTTACCCTTTCTTCTACTCATCTTGCTACCCGGCTATACAACTACCTGCTATAATTCCATTAAGGAATTAAAGACTTAAACCAATCTATCCCAGTCTAAGTCCTAGATAGGTATCAAACAACAATAAAACAATTAGCATGCGGCTTAATAAGAATTAGCCAACTCATCACCCAAGGGATTTGCATACTCACCTCAGGTCCTGCCACACCTGCACTTTACGGGTTATTTCCATAAACACTCAATCATCACACAACGGTCAGGAGATGAATGTAGCACACAAGGTCACCCTACTGCTACCCATGGTCTCATCGCTCCTTATCACTCCAACTTCGACCTAATGGAATCGAGCTGACCTTGCTCTGATACCAATTCAAACGGGGTTGTCACGCCCCGAACCCCTCGAAGCGCGTACATCCCATGTACTGGTCGATTATAGAGCAACGCTCTCAGGAAGCGTCGCCGACCCACGCCCAAAACAGAGATCAAGCACAAGCAGAAGCATTAAATAAACAAACCCAGACAACTACAATATGAGCCAAGGATAGCCATACATCAAAACCTCGTATAAAATAATTACATATTTATATTACTATAAAAAAAACCATTTGTACAATATTTACAAGTACAAACAAAAAGGTACACACGTTCAGTAGCCACTTGATCAAAAAGTGGTAAGCGGCTAGGGAGGTCAGGCCAAAACTTGGGAGGAGGGCTACAGTTCAAAAAGTAGTGGCCCTCGCTACTAGCTAAGGACACAGGGCGACCCTAGGGCTCCCAATCAGGGTCGGACGACTCGGTAGAATCATCTGGCAACTCCTCGGAGGCATCCTCGCTAGAGCCTGACTCCTCCGAATCCATGGCTTGTGCTCGCTCATCCTCGGCTGCGATCCTCTCGTCCTCCGAATCTAGCTCTAACTCTGGATCTAGATAAAAACCTAACTCGTCATCTTCCTTAGCTCCTATCTCCACATCGGACCCTACCTCGGCGACCTCTCCAATCTCTTCCTCATCATCTATGTCCATGTCTTCAAATTCCTCTTCTTCGTCTTCGAGCTGATCATAATCTTCGGCGATTACTTGAGGCTCCCCATGCATGGGCTCATCCACGCCGTCTACGTCATACACATCCTGAGGATTGACTATCTCACCATCAGCCATCCGTGGAATCATCAATCCATTTTGGTTGACTGGCACATCAAAAGTCCTAAGGGTTTGCCCTAGGTTTTCGTCTGCATCTCGCAAGCATCAGGCTACGTACTCCTGAGTCTGATGAAAATACTCTCCCACGTTTATAAACACCACGGACCGGTATCTTACATATGATTCCCCATTTCCTGCGGGGTAGGTACTGGTATACTGGTGTATCTATACAGGTATTCCAAAAAGCGGCGGATTCGACATCTTCACGGCTGAGGGTCTGAAAAGTTTCGGTTTACACAACCGTGAGACGAATCTCAATGAGTTCAACCCCTAAACCTAGGCTAGGCTAGCATGCAATCTCCTGACGGGACACAAATAATTGAAACCATAATGCAACAACAATCAAACAATTCTCTGACCCTGCAGGTTAGACAGTTCAATATATAATAATCACGGCACATACGTGGCACACATTATTACACGTACGCCAATCACATGCTCATGCACCGAGTCTCACACACTCGCATGCCAATCCATGCATGTTCATGCATGCAAATGTCGTCGACATGTCACGTGCATCTCCCGGCCCACTGGCCCATACTGGCACACTGGCAATCGCCCAATTTATTATTTATTACGACTCGAGTCAACAACATTCACGGCCCAGTGCGTCTAGCCTGCTTTAAAGTGCATGAGGTGCAGCAACCGATCTGGCCCAGTGTCTCTAGCCTGCTTCAAAGTGCATGAAGCGCAACACTGATCTCCTTACGAACCAGAGCCTGCTTCAAAGTGCATGAGGATGGTCGTCTTCCGGACGTACCGGGCATCGTCCTGCTTCAACTTACATGAGGACGGTATCGACCCGAAGGTCACAACCCGAAGGTCCTTAGGTGATCACACAACCAATTATTATCTGAATCCTGCATAACACTCTTCAGGGCATTTTAGGTGATCACATGCTCATGGCGGGCACGCATTCTCGCACAATTTCACCACATGCCTCACTCTTGGCATACACAATGCGTGTCCATGTTATGCAATGCAATGCATCACGAGCATCAACATAATTCAAACACTCAATGTCACAACAAGCGCCCAATTGGCCCAATTAATACCGTGTGGCCTAACGTGCAGTTCACAAATCAACAATTAATTTCAAGCCAGACAGTGGCCAATCGCACTCCACAAAAATCAGTCACACCACATGCGACATAGCAGTACTCAGTCAATCACAATTAAGCACGAATTACATACAATCAATCAACCCGGACATACCCGGCAATTCCACCAATGGGCTCCTAAATTGGCTAATCAATCCAATTACTCTCCCCAATAAATTTTCATTGATCCACTGCATTTTTCCCGATAATAATTCCTACCAATCGGTACACTAATTCCTCTCAGCATATACTAGTATTCCTAAACCAGTCCAGAAAAATGCACTATCAGTCCTAATCCGAGTTTAGGAATTTTACTCACCTAATCCAAGGTCACGATGACGAGGAACGGCAGCCGATCACTGGTGAACAGTGGAACCGGCGGCGGCGTTCTTGGCGACGGCGTACGGACGGCGACGTACGGATACTGTACGGACACCGTATGGACGGTGGTGAACAGTGACGTACGGACGTCGGGGACGTCATAGTGGCAGCAGCTCGGCCGTACGAGCTCCGGCGCGGCGGCGGTGGGGCTCCGGCGCGGCGGCGGCGCTAACCCGGGAGAGAAAAAAGGGAGAGAAAGAGAGAAAAAGGGATCGGATAGGGGCAAGGCTGAAGCTGGGGACTGAGGTGGTCGACGGGGAGGCACGGTGGCCGGCGGCGGCGCTCCGGTGGCCGGCGGTGAGCTCCGGCAAAGCCAAGCCGAGAGGGAAAAAGAGAGAGAAAGAGTGATCGGGAGGGAGAGAGGAGGTTCTGGCCGAAATGAGGGTGAGAGGAGAGAGAAACAGATTTAATTTGATCAAATTTTAGGGGCTAGGGTGCCAAGTGTCACAAATCTAGCCCAAAATGACCATTTTGCCCCTCATCCAAGGGCCGCCATTAAATCTTATCCAATAATTCAAGGGCATTTTGGTCCTTTGCTGCAATAATTAGGATAAGTCGAATTTTAATTAATTTCCTTAATTATCCCCCAAAATTCGGAACCAAAAATTAGCCCAGGGGCAAAACCGTCATTTTTCCCGTCCCGGGACGAAGTTCCATTTTTCGCCCGTACCAACCCTCCATGTGCGTGGCCAACATAATGTGGTGTCGGAATCACGAAAACAGACCTTTAAGCCCTCGAAAATCGACTGCAAAGTTTCGGGAATAAAATAATATTATTTTTCACTTCCGAACCGAAATTCCAATTTTCAACCATACTTACTCAAAATATGCGTGGCCAGCATAATATGACGTCGGATTCCCAAAAATAGTCTCTTAAGCCGTTGAAAATCGACATCGAAATTCGAGCCCAATTTCGTGATCATAACTCGCTCGATTTCAAATTTCAGGGTCTCTCATTAACGGGCGGCTGTTTAGAGATTACGCGTATCGACCTAAGGTTATCCGAGTCATGACGGTTCTGATCATTGAGAGAATGAGAAATTATCACTAGTCCCAGAGGTCACGATCGTCTGGTTTAAGTTCAGGACTAGTTGGCCACGTGCACTCTCGGTCATGCAGAATCACCTGCGATCCGATTGTACATCGTTGGCCTTGGCCAAACCAAATCCATCACCTTTCCTAAGATCGATCCACATTGGTTTATAATATTCTCTCATCATTTCTCGTGATCGGTGACCGTTTCACGATCGAGTCCCTGGTCCACGTACCGTTTTTCCCAGTTAGCCATTCCCCATTGGTTAGCATCCTAAGAGTGATCAGCTCTGGGCGAGACTTACTAAAATGAAATGCGAAATATTGCCAATTTTATTGATCCCGGAATTACATCGAAATTCGGGCTGTTACGGTTCATGTTCGTTTCTAGAAGTCCAATAGGTGAATTTTGAACACAAGACATGAAACTCGTATTCCCTAGCAAAATCTATTCTCCTGAAGTTCCAAAGTTGATCAGGTCTAATACTCTTTTTGATAATCTCACAAATCTCATGTGGAGATATCAATACAAAATCTTTAGACAGTATGATGGGCTAAATTTCTGACCAAGTGTTATGCATCCGAATTTCCTGTTCATACACCATTTATCTTCTTCTCCAAATGATGAATTTTCGGAAGAATTCAAATGGTTTTATTGGTATGCATTTAATTGCCATACTTTTGCCATTGAGTTTCCAACAATGAAAATGCCAAGAATTATCAGCCAAGCAATCTGAGAAATCGGTGACGGTGGAAAATACCACCATTTTGCAAAATACTTTGTTGGTTTAAACTCTTTGGAGCATGGGCCTTTTTCACAGAACAACTAAGATCATGCAGGCTAGATCCATAGTTATACACAATCATTTTCTTTTACAGGCCATGAATGTTTGTCATGCCAAACAACAACTTTTTCAAGTATCTGGCAGATATAGGAGTCACGATCTATAAGGCTCAAGTAGTTCCTGTCAAGTTTTATAAGATACTCTCATGGTGTAATGAAGCCAATCCACAAGAACACAAGGAAATTCAGTGAGTCCTCTGTGAGACTAATCGCACAATTCTTTTAAGATTTTGGCCTAACAATAGTACTAATGTATCATAGGATTATTCATGGGATTATCTAAAGAGAAATCCCCTGATTCAAGCTGCTTTGGCAGAGTTTGAAAAAAAAAATCCATACTAGCTATCATTTTCACAAGACCCATGGAATGGACCACTCTATCAAGATTCTGTTCATTATGGACTGTCATCAAGTTTAGGGAGCCCCTCATCATTGATAAATGTGGACAATTGGCCCCAACCAGTATTGATTGGAACACATCCATTTCTTATTGTGTAAGATTCTAAAATGAACTTGGACCCAACAAATATTTCATCAGGATGTAATGATGTCCCACCAAGTTTTTATTAATCTCATCCTAAAAAGTCACGAACTAGACTTGCTTTTGAGATTCTCCCTTATGGATTTCTGGGACTTGAACAAGAAAACATAAAAGAAAGGAGAAGAAGATGGGATTGAGAAGCTGTCTTACGCTACTTATTAAAGAGACAGGTTGCTCTTTGCCATTATTAGATAGTGACTGATGAGATATGCACCAATAATTAGTCACGTTGTTGTATTGTTAGTGTGTGTGCCAATAATTGGTTACATTGGTCACATTGTTGTATTATTAGTATGTGTGCAAATAATTGATCATGTTGCACAAATAATTGTTCATGTTGTTGTATTATTGGTGTTTGTCTTATCTTTCTCTTATGCCTATAAAAGGCATGAGTTGTATCGTTTGAAAGCCAGATTTTTCCTAGTAATAAAATCTTGTGTTGTGGTGTGTAAAAATCATGCAAAGCTAAATCTTCTCCCTCATTCTCTTCAAATATCTGTTTGGTATTAGGAATCTTAGAATGGTAAGATAACACCTCATCTTGGTAGGATACTCTCTACTCACCTCCATGAGGATGTTGTGTATTAGAAATCGAGGCTAAGAGGCCTTATGTTCAGTATAAGAATTAAGCTGGATGCTAAAAGTTGGTTCCAATACGGTAAGGCCCATGGGAGGCACCGCAAGGGGATTGAATACCTTGTGGCATTCTAAAATTCGATCCATTTTCGGGATTTATGAAATGAATATGTCTTCGATGCACTTTTAGTTAAATCTCGCTCAGAATTGATCACTCATGAGAAGACTAATTGTTAGGGAAAGGTCAATTAAGAATTTGGTATGCACGACCTAAGGACTCGACCGTGGTTTGACACTTTGACCATAAGGAGTGACGGTGGACAATTTTGGGCCATTATAAACCGATCAAAAGATGGTTATGGAACGATTTACCAATGTTATATAATTGGATCGCGAGTGATTCCATTTGACCATTGTATGGATTCCAAATGACCCTAGACCAATTCCTACTGATCGTGTCCTTCGGGACTAGTGATTTACCATC